CCCCCCCCCCCCCCCCCATACACACACAAACATGCACAGACACCCACCGCCGCCACACGGGGCTTGCCTCGGTGTGTGTGGGCCTTTTCTCTTTTGACGCGGGGCCAACTGTCAGAGCCACCCCGGCTGGGGCCGATCGTCCGGTGCGCCGGCCCGGGAGGATGGAAAGCACATCAGCGGGGCCCAAACAAGCGAGGCCGGGCGATGGGCGGCCCCCGGGATGGGACTAGAGCTGAGGGGACAGTTTGGGGATATCACGTGCGCATGGTCAGCAATACCGAACTGATGGCGAATTTTGCCCGGCCGCTGAAAGACACACCGAGCGGCACCCCCTTTTTTGCATGCGGGGGCTGGTACGCGCACACACAGCGGGGAAGCCGCCGCCGCCGCCGCCGCCGCACCCAGGACACAGGCGAACGCGCAGGACGCACATGCACACGATGGAGAGATGGGAAAGAGAGAGAGGGAGGGGGAAAAAGGATGTGCGGGTGTGCGATCAGCAGGGAGAGGGGGGCACACACACACACACACACACACACACACACACACAGCATGGAGCACAGTTGTTTATGTTTATAATATCTTGAAAAAGGAGACTGAGGAAGAAGGAGAGGGAGAGACAAGGGGGAGGGAGCATAGGAGAAGGGGACTCGGCTGGATGCACATGGCGGGAGGAGAATGGGTGGTGCGTGATCGCGCGGACGCGCGCATGGAAGGGCAGCAATAGCGAGCGGCTGGTGCGGGGAAAGCACCCTGTGGAGTATCCCCGCCGCGCGCCCGGGGGGCGGGGGGGGGGGGGTCGCCCCTTTTGCGGGCCCACTCCCCTGTCCATTTTCCTCTCCTGAACACCGCCGACCACCCGGGGATGGACACGTCACATGTGGGAAAGCGCGCACAAGGCGCGCGCCCGGAATGAGAGGGAAAGAGGGGGAGAAAGGAAGAAGGAGCGACACTTTGGCCCCCTTAGTCGCTCTTCTGGAAGTGGTCCGGGGCCTTGAGCGAAGCAAGGCAGGAGTAGGCCGACAGAAGAATGATGCCGAGGACAATCAGAGTGATGATGCCCATGAAGACGGCCGGGGCGAAGAAGGTGTAAGCGTCGAACATGCCAGCGCCGGTAAGCCAGAAGCGGTCGGCCTTGGAGGCACCCTCGCCGGGGATGGAACCAGAGGTGGAGGACTCGGCCGGGGCATCGATGGCCTGCGGATGGGGGGCAGGGGCGGTTGGTCAGTGGCGCTTGTCGCAAAAGGCAAGGCAGGAGGGGCCGCGGATGAAAGACACGGGAACAGGGCGCAAGGGGAGGCAGACGCACAGTGTCGGCGACAAGAAGGACGGAAACCGAGGAGCCACCGTAGCCAGTGAGCTTGGTGGTGAGGGCGGTGGCAAAGTTGGCTGCGGATGGGGGAGGGGGGGACAAGAACAGGGCATGTGAGGAGGGGAGAAAGGGGCGGGTTGCAGGTGCTGGGGGTGTCACGACAGGGGGGGAGGGGAGGGGGAGGTGGGGGGCCAGAGCAAGAGCGAGAGAGAGAGAGAGAGAGAGAGAGAGAGAGAAGGACGAGGAAAGGATGGCAGGATACGCACCGGCATCTCCGGAGGCGAAGCTGATGTCAACAACAGCCGGGGCGGCGGCAGCGAGGTCGAGGGCCAGGAGCTCGTCGGTGGTGTCGACGACAATGACAGTGGCGGCGTTCTTGGTGGCCAGGTCCCCGACGACCGAGGTGCTCAGGGCCTGGGCAGAGCCGGCCACATGGGGGTAAGAAGCGAAGGAGTTGGCAGCCTGGATGGCGTCCTGTGGTGGTGGGGGCGGGCGGGGGAAGGGTGTCAGAAAGGATGCTGGTGGAAGGAGGCCAGGAGGCAGGGTGCATCATGCGAGTGGCGCGCGTACGGCGAAGGCGCTCTCGACGGCCAGGGCATCGCCGAAGGTGGACAGGACGATGGAGACGTCGACGACCGGGACATCGGACAGGCGGGCGGTGAGGGACGCAACGTCGTACTCCACAGGAGTGGCGTCCTTCAGGGCGTCGAGATCCCTGGAAAGGGGGAGGGGAGGGGAGCACACATGGGTTAGGCGGCAGGGCACGCATGCGAGAGAGCGAGAGAGAGAGAGAGAGAGAGAGAGGGGAGACACAGGCTCAAATGGCAAGCCGGCGAAGGGGATGGAGGACGCACTCAGTGTCGCTCCAGACGGTGGTGGTGCCAGCCGAGACGACACCAGCCACAAGGACCAGGAGAGCAAAGACGGAGGAGATGAGGCCGCGGGGGGTGAGCGGGGCCATGGTGACTCGCGAGGTGCGGGAGGGGGACGACCAGCGACGGGAACTGCCGTCGGGGGGGTTAGAGAGAGAGGGGAGCCGGGGGCGGGAGGAGGAAAAAAACTATGGGCCAAGGGGGGGGGGGGCAGGAAGGAGAAGGAGCCAAGTGAACGGAATCCAGCCAGCAAGAGAATCGCGCGAGGATGGTGTGTGTGTGTGTGTGTGTGCGCGCGTGGAGAAGGCAGGACGAGAGGAAAGACGAAGGAGAGGGGAGGCATGATGCGGGGGGGGGGGGCTTACAGTGGGAATGGAAGTCAGGTGGGGGGTGTCCACGAAGGCGGGGCCCTGGGTCAGCGTGGTGGCCAAAAAAGGGCTCCACATTGAAAACAAGCCATCTTTGCCACGCCTGCCTGCCGCACCACCCGGCTCCCCCTGCCCTCCCCCCCCCTCCCCCCCCCCACCGGCACCTGCCCCGAGCAGACACCACGATACACCGGAGACCGGGCGGGCCGCGGGCCAGGCACCACCAGCACCACCCGCGGGCCAGGGACTCTGGGCCGGGGATCTCCCTCGTCCTCCGGGGGGGGGGGGGGGCGGGCGGATGCCCAGACCCTGGACGCACGGCGCGGTCAGCCAAGCGGTCTCATGGCTGGGGCGAGGCCCCATGTATGGGCTGGGGGGGGGGGGGGCCACCAGCAGCCCCGAGTGCCCCGCCTGGACCTCGGCGCCGCTGCGAACGACGGTCGTGCCCGCCCCCAGCGGCCGTGGCCGCGCTCACACGCTCTCCCAGACGTGGCCAACAGGCAACCCTCCAGAGCACTTGCACGCGCATGCACACACACACAGACACAGACACACAGACACATTCTCCGAAGAGCGGCCGCGCTCGGCGCCAACCCTAGCTGGAGTGCGCAGCTGGTCCCAGCCGAGAAGGGAGCTCCCGAGCGAGGGAGGAAGCGACAATGGGGTGCCCGGATTTAGCGGCGGCACATGCACCATCAGCACAGCACGGTCTGCCCCGCGCCTGCCAAAGGGGGGGTGGTGGCCCAAGCCTGGCGGCCGAAAAAAACAAAAACACCCAGGCGAGCCGGAGGGCCTGTGAGCCAGGGCCCCCGGGCGGCCGGCACCTGTGACTGGCCCCGGCGTCCCTGCCGCAGGTCCGCCATGGTCCGGCCGCCCGGGCGGGGCGGGGGAGCCTCGCCGTGTGTGCCCCCCCCCCCCCCGCGCCCCAGCCCGTGAAAGGGACAAAAGACTGGAGCCCGGACCGCCCGGAGGGTCGGGCGCGACTGCGCGCTCGGACGGAGGGGGCGCGCGCAGAGGCCCCCCCCCGTTGGCCGGAATACGGGCGCGCAGTTCCGCCCGGCTGTCTCATGTGGCGCGTCCCTGTGTTGTGACGACATGTGATCTGGCGGACTCCAGAACCGCCAGCGTGAATCCAACCCTGTGCGACACACCGCAGGCACGCGCGGTTCGTTCTGGGCTGGCCCGGCTGGGCGCGGCGCCAGCTGGCTGGGAACCGGCACAGGATGGCGCAAGGCGGCAGGGGAGAGGTGGCCTGACGGATGCGTGTTGGACACTCCGGCGCATACTGGGGTGCCGGGCGGAGCAGGTCGCACGGATTCCGACACGCGCGGCTAGGCTCCCCGGTGCCGGTCATGAACACGGCTCGGCGGAATATTCCGCACTATTTTTAGTGGCCAGATCATTGCCCAGTGTGGTTGAGGGGCCTGCCCGAGCACACCCAGCCGGGCCGGGGGTATGGCGGGGCAGGAAGAGGGAAGATCGGCCCATTTCCCCCCCACCCCCCCCCTTTCGAACTCGACCAGCTCTGGGCGTTCGCAGGGGGGAGGTGTCCGGGGAGAATGTGCTTCTGGACTTGCAACACCCAGTTCCACCCTGCCCCCTGCGCGCGGTTCCCCCGCCCGCCGCCTTGCGGCCCGGCTGCCTGACGTGCGGCCCGGCGCAGGCGTGGGCCCCCCCGAACGCCGGAGACTGCAGGCGCTCGCGGGCAGGCCATCCTCCTGGAGGGGCTGAGGGGGGTGGCCGGGGGGGGGGGGGGGGGGGGGGAGGGTCGGGGAGCCGCGCGCCATGCCGACCGGCGCACGGGCGCGGCATACTGAAGACCACCCAGCCCGCCGGCCGCCAGCTCCGGGCCAGATCCCCCTCTTTGACAGCTATATCCCCCCTTGGAGATCACCTCCGCCTGTACGTGCGTCGCCTCTCGGTCTTCCCTCCCGGTCCTCCTCCCTCCCTTCCCCCCCTCCCTCTCACTCACCGGAGCCCCGACACACCCCTCTCCCCAGGCAAGAAAAGAGTACCGCGATATGACGACCATGTCTGCGACCTCTGCTGCCCCGCCCAAGTCTACCGTGCGTTGCCCTCCCTCCCCGCCCCCCCCCCCCCCCCCCTTTGCATCCGTCCCCCCCCCCCCCCCCCCCCCCCCCCCCCCCCCCCCCCCCCCCCCCCCCCCCCCCCCCCCCCCCCCCCCCTCCCCCCCCCCACCCCCCCCCCCCCCCCCCCCCCCCCCCCCCCCCCCCTCCCCCTCCTCCCCTCGCTATGACTGACCGCGTCGCGCCGCCCCTCGCCGTAGACATGTGCTTCCAGGACCTCACGGCCAGCCACCAGCCCGACATGCTGGGCACCGTCACCGGTGCCGGCCTCATCGGCCAGCAGCTCACGGTCCCGCTCACCCTGTCCCCCCACCCGGTGTACACGCTGCCGATGCTGAGCGTTTCGGCCACCAAGGGCACCGGCATCGTGGTGTCGGTCCCGTCCGACTCGCCGGACGACTTCGCCGCCTTCCGCGACCTGAAGTCCAAGCCGGCCTTCTGCGAGAAGTACGATGTCGACCATGCCTGGGTGCGCGACGTGTCGCCGGTGCACATCATCGATGTGCCTGGCTACTCCGGGCCCTGCGCCGAGATCGCCTGCGACGAGTTCAAGGTCCAGTCCCAGAACGATGCCGTCGCCCTGGCCAAGGCCAAGGACGAGGCCTACAAGCGCGGCTTCTATGAGGGTGTCATGCGGGTGGGCGCCCATGCCGGGGCCAAGGTCGAGGAGGCCAAGCCCCTCATTCGCCAGGAGCTCCTGGCCGCCGGGCAGGCCGTGGTCTACTACGAGCCGGAGGGTCCGGTCATGTCGCGCTCGCTCGACGAGTGTGTCGTGGCCCTGGTGGACCAGTGGTTCATCGACTACGGCGATGACGAGTGGCGCCAGACGGCCCTGCGCTGCCTGGCCCGCATGAACATCCCGGCGCGCGAGACCCAGAACCAGTTCGAGGCGGTCTTCAACTGGCTCGGCCAGTGGGCCTGCTCCCGGAGCTTCGGCCTGGGCAGCCGCGTCCCCTGGGACGAGCAGTACCTGATCGACTCGCTGTCCGACTCGACCCTCTACCCGGCCTACTACACGGTGGCGCATCTCCTGCAGCAGGGCGCCCTGGACGGATCGGTCGTTGGCCCGGCCGGCCTGGCCGCCGATGCCATGACCCCCGATGCCTGGGACTTTGTCTTCCTCGGGACCGAGCCGGCGGCCGATGCCCCGGCCGCCGCGCATCTGGACCAGCTGCGCGCCCTGCGCCGGGAGTTCCTCTTCTGGTACCCGTGCGACATGCGCGTGTCCGGCAAGGACCTGGTGCCCAACCATCTGACCATGTACATTTACAACCATGTGGCCCTGCTGGAGGAGCGCCACTGGCCCGGCGGTGTGCGCACCAATGGCCACCTCCTGCTGAACATGGAGAAGATGTCCAAGTCCACCGGCAATTTCATGACCCTGGAGCAGGCCGTGTCGGCCTTCGGGGCCGATGCCGTGCGCATTGGTCTGGCCGATTCCGGCGACACAGTGGAGGATGCCAACTTCCAGTCGGAGCTGGCCAACAAGGCCATCCTGCGTCTGCATGCGCAGCTCGACTGGACCCGGACCTTCCTCCGGGACCAGGCCAACCCGGCCACCGCCCTGCCGGTCAAGGAGCCCTCCGCCTACACGCACCATGATCTGGTGTTCCTGTCGCGCATGAGCGAGGCCATGGCCGGGGCGCTGGATGCCTACGAGCGGACCATGTACCGTGAGGCTCTCAAGTGCGGCTTCTTCGACATGCAGGCCGCGCGTGATCGCTACCGCGATCTGACCGCCTCGGCGCCCACCCCGGCGGCCGGGCCCTGTGGCGGCCTCCTGCGCCAGTTCATCGAGTACCAGGCTCTCCTGCTGGCGCCGATTGCCCCGCACTTCTGCGAGTATGTGTGGCAGGATCTCCTCGGCCACGAGGAGTCGGTCACCGCCAGCCGCATGCCCACCCCGCCGGCCGTCGACCGGATTTGCCTCATGGCCGACACCTATGCCGAGGAGGTCATCCACCGGATGCGCCTGGCCCGCGAGGCGGCCATCAACCCGCCCCGGCCGCGCGTGGCCAAGGGGGTCACCCCGCCGCCGCTGGTGGTGTACGCCTCCCCGGTCCACTGCCGGCTGACCGTCACCCGGGCCTTCACCCCGGTGCAGCTCGCCGTCCTGAGCGCCCTGCGCGAGAACTACTCCTCGGCCACCGGGGAGTTCACCCTCCCGGAGAAGGACATCCGCGATCGCGCCCGCAAGAGCCTGCCCGACCCCAAGAAGGACACCAAGGTGGCCATGAACTTCTTTGCCACGGTGCTCACCCGGTTCGAGCTCCTCGGCGAGTTTGCCTTCAACGACCAGCTGCCCTTCGACGAGGCCCACATCCTCGGCGAGTACAAGGACTACATCCTGTCCTCCTTCGGTCTCAAGGAGCTGGACATTGTGGACAATGTGGCCGACACCCTGGCCACCCCCTGCGTGCCGGAGATTGCCTTCACCCTCCGGGTCAAGGAGGACGAGGCCCAGGAGTAGGTGCAGGTGTGTTGACCGGGCCGCCGCCTGCCGCCGAAGACGGGCGAGATGTGATATGCCGGACACGCGCGCGCGCGCGCGCGCGCGCTCCCTCCCTCTCTCTCTCTCCCCGCCTTCCTGTTTTCCCCAAGCACCGAGCAGGTGGTGGTGCAGGCTGCCTGCCTCACGACCATATCCCCCTCCCCCCTCGCCCTTCTCCTCCCCTCTGGCTCCTCCTTCTCTCGGCTCCCGCTCTGTGCACGCCTCCCTGCTGCCGTCCGTTCGGCGGGGGCGCAAGGAGGCGACCAGCGAGCGAGGCGCATCGGGCCTGGACACCGTCCATCGTGTTGCTGCATGATGCACGGCATGTATGCATGAAATACCAACAGAGTAGCAATATATACACACACACGTCGATCGTGTCCCCTTCTGCAGTTCCGCGCTTTCTTTCGAGGGGGGAGGAGGGGGGACGTCCTGCCTACGTGCATGTGCAAGGCCGCCCTCCTGCCGTTTCTGGCCCGCATCGCTCCCACGAGCAGGGAGCACCTGTTCACCTGGCCGGGGATGATCACATGCCCACGGCCATGCGCCGGTCAAAGCACCGAGTCTTGCGTTGCATGCGATCTGGGCCGAGCGGCGTCCCGCGGGCTGCCCCATGCCCGCACGCCGGGGCCTCCCCACGTAGGTGCGATCGTGTGGCCTTGCTCTTTTGCGGCCCACGCTGCGCCTCGCCCCAAAGAGGGGGTGCGATCGCGGCGCCTCGGCCAACCGGTCGTGAAGACAACAGTGATCCACTCCCCCCCCCCCCCCTCCCACCCCTTCTGTGCTCTTCCCCTTTGCCCCTGTTCCCCCCTCCCCCTTCCCCTCTTCTGACATGACCGAGAAGCGCAAGCGCAGCGAGGAGTCCGACACCTCGGCCCCTTCTGACCCGGTGGACAAGCTGCTGGCTGGCCTGCCGGAGGTGAAGCGCACCCGCGGCGGGCGCCGCAAGGCGCAGGCTGCACCTCCTGTCGAGGAGCCTGCCGCCGTGGCGGAGTCTCCGGAGGTGCCGGCCGACGACAAGAAGGCCGACAAGCCGGCCAAGAAGGCCGGGCCGCCGAAGTTCATCGTCTTCGTCGGGAACCTTCCCTACAATGTCAAGGCCGAGGAGGTTCGCGAGGAGCTGTTCAAGCCGCTGGTGGAGTATGTGCGCGATGTGCGCGTCCGCGCGGAGAAGGGCTTCGCTTTCGTGGAGTTCAAGAACTACACCTCCTACAGCATGGCCATCCGCATGAACAAGACCTCCTTCAAGGGGCGCGAGGTCAAGGTCGAGGCCACGGTCGGCGGCGGCGGCAACAGCGCCGCCCGCAAGCAGAAGCTCATGAAGAAGAAGGTGGAGATGAACAAGAAGGTCCATGTCCAGCTGAAGACCATGCTGGACGACTCGCGCCTCAAGGGGGCCATCTCGCGCGCCACCGCCGCCGGCAAGCTCCCCGAATCGTCGTAGGGGTTGGACAGGCCACTCCCGGCCAGCGTGGGCTGGGCCAGCCGTCGTCTCTTCCTCTTCCTCCTCTTCCTCTTCCTCCTCTTCTTCTTCTTCTTCTTCTTTTCGGACCTCGCTCGCCCTCTCCCTCTCCGCTTCTATCCTCTCTCCCTCCGCTCTCGCCCCTGCTTTCGCCCTTTCCCGGCCATCTGGATGTTCAAATACAGCTCTTTTTGTTCAACCCCACACGCTCGCAGATGCCGGGACATGCTCGTACATGCGTCTGCGCCTGGGCAAGAGTGCAGGCAGCGTGACACGCGGGGCCGCACAGATACACCCGCCCACCCACACGCCTGGACTGTGCAGGTCGTGGATGTACCGCGAACAAGTTTACACGCACACACACACACACGCGCGCAAGAAAAAAACCAACACTAGCTCCCACTGTCACACCCACGCATGCCCACTACCCTTCTATCCTTACGTCTCCGACTTTTTGCTCACGCATACACACACCAGGCCGTGTTGTGTCCAGGGACGTCCGTCGGACCGAGGGAAATACCTCTCCTTGGCAGCAGGTACATTGCCGGGCGGCGCGAAGACATGGCATGGATGAGGGGCAGCGCCTACGACCCCCATGCCGGGGAGTCAGCCCGGTCCGGGTGCAGGCGCTCGGAGTGTGTAGCCTCCAGGCCGGCTGCCACGTCGGCGGTCGCCAGCGGCGGGAGGTTGACTGTCCCCGGGGCTGGCGGGCTGGCCACGCCCACTCCATCGGAGTGCTGATGGTGGCGCGGCGGGATGGCTATCCCGATGGGTGGTGACAGGCCGTGCGCCTGGGCCCGGCTCGAGGGCAGACTGCGGACCCCGCCGGGCGGCGGTGGTGGCAGGAAGCTCGCCCCGGGTGACAGAAGCAGCGGCGAAGCCCCAGGCGTCGCCATGGCATCGATCACGGCCGCCGTGTGGCTGACGTACCCGAGCCGGCCGCTGCCCGGGCCGAGGCTGGGCCGCGGCCCGCGCGGAGTCTTCACCACCGCCCCGGGCGGCCATCCCCCTTCGGGATCGGACTCGAGGTCGGGCCCGTCGTCCGAGTCGCCGGGCTGCTTGGAAGCGCGCGAGCCGGGCCGCCCAGACACGGGCCCCGGCGGCGGCGTCGGCGGCGACGGCGGCAGCGGCGGCGGCGGCATCGCCGTGTGCCACATGATGAAAAGGCTCAGGAGCAGGCCCAGGCCGATGCACGACCAAATGGCGGCATAGGGCCCGGCGCGGTGGGCCACTTGGCGGCGGAAGGCGGCCGGCTGGTGGCCGGGCACTCCCACCGGGCCAGGGGGCAGGGGCAGTGGCTCGGGCGCCCCGGGCGGCCGGGGACGCGGCCCGATCAGCACCGCATCCTCCGGCAGCCGATTGACAAACACCACATACATGTCCAGGGGCCGGGCGCCGCGATTGGGCAGGACCGCATGGCAGCCACATCCCCGGCACGAAAGGGGCCGGTCCATGGCCGGCGCGTCATCATCCTCGGCCGAGTCGCTTGGGGTGCTCGTTGACCCATCGCCATTGCCACGGTCATCGGTGTTGCTCCTGCTGCTGCTGCTGCTGCTGCTGCCGCCGCCGCCGCCGCCGCCGGGGCCGGGGCCATCACTCCCGCTGAGGGTGTCAGCCCCTTGCCCCGGCGATGGCTCAGGCGCCTGGCCGATCACCCACGGCTGCGTATGCTGATACACCCGGGCCGCCACGTCGAAGCGCTGGGACACGGTGATGGCGGCCGTGTCGGGCCCCGGGGGCATCCCCTCGACGGCGACCCGGCACCACAGCCGACTGTCCCCGACCAGGCTGATGGTGGCATTGAAGTTCAGCGGCCCGCCAGGGCGGAAGGTGTCCCGATGGAGGACCGCCATGCCGGCGGCCCCCGGCCCAGGCTGGGCCTTGAGGAAGGCCCGCGCGAGCGGCTGCTCCAGGTACTCGATGGTCACGCGCAGGCTGGCCAGGTCGTCGGCCGGCTGGCCGCGGTTCGCCAGCTCGGAGATGTCGATGTGCGTCTCGATGTCCACCTGGGACCCCTGCAGCAGGTCCAGGCCAATGGGCCAGCTGGGCCCGGAGGCCGGGGCAAAGCGCCCGGTCCGGGTGACCCCCCAGCGCACGGGGTCCAGACTGAGGGCGGGCCTCACCGGTCCGGGAAAGATGACGGCCGTCACCCCGGCGCAGGAGCCCGGGCTCGGGTGGGCGGCCTCGAGCAGCCGAACCCCCGTGGCATAGTCCCAGGGTATCTTCTCCATGCGGCTGGTCCCGCCGGCGGCCAGCGATCTTTCCCCGGTCGAAGGGTAGGGAGTTGACAGGCCGGTGATCAGGGCCACGGCCGCGAAGAACCCCAGCACCAGGGCCAAGCCGCGCTTGCGATAAGCCCACACCGGAGCCAGGAGGCCCCCGGGGGCCGGGGGCGTGGGGGCCGAGCCGCGAAGCGACTGCGATCTCGGGGATTTGCCGGCCACCCGGTGGTCGCCGGAGTCGGCCTCGCTCACAAGGGGGGACACCTCCTCGGAGAGGATGTCGGCTGGTGGGTCCTCATCGAGGCCGGAGCCGCGACCCAGCTGGTGCATGTCCGTGGAGTATGGGTCGCCATCGGGGCCCGGGCCGATGTCCTCCAATTCGATGTCCTCGTCGGCATAGCCGGTACCCCAGCCGGCGAGATCGGCCGAGTCCGAGTGGAAGAGGTTCGCCGACCGGAGCTCCATGGTGCATGAGTCCGTGGGCGGATGCGCGATATGCGGGTAACCAGTATGTTGGTGGTGGCAG